GTCCAGCTAGAGGGGTCATTAAACAAACTATAGTGCACTGAAACCCTTGCCCATAACTAAACCGTGATGCTTGGTGTTTGCTTCCTTTCACACACGCAACCATATTGCTCACCTTGTTTGTTTTCTATTCTTCTAATCAGCTGTTTATCGGCAATCGTCTGTTTTGTTTACATCAGAAATCAATGAAGCGGTGAATGCGCGGGGAAACGAAAGGACATCTTCGTATCAATACGGTAAATTCCGTGATTTGAATATTTTTTAATCAATATGTTCAAGCAATGAAAAATATGAGGATAACATTTTTAATCATAGAGCACACGTTTTGTGTATTTACTATTTAAAATTATAGTTTATGAAGAAATATAGCAAAATATGTTTCAATACGCACTATAAAGTGAAGATTAGATGTATTATTGTTTTGTTTTTGAAATAACATCAATAATCCATAAATACACCTTTGTACCAAAATTGCAACAAAATTTCAAGATAACATAACTTTCATCATCACAGAATGATATTAGTTGCTCAAATTGACAGGGCTTCGTGAACTAAATTTGGCTTAAATTATGATAGCAATTGAACACTTCATTATAGTTTCTACCGATGACCTACTATCATGATTTTTATCCGACCCCACTTACGGACGCGTTGACATATAATGCATACAACTCAATAATAGCCAATCAGACGTTAAGATATCCTTCACTCCCCCCAGAAGCAGCCCGGAAGCAGCTGAGATGCAGCCATTTAATGTTATTTATAACCAATGAGATACCGTTAACAGATTTACCACATTCCAGACGTCCAGCCTCTGACTAATCAGACCGTATCACCATGGTGATGGTGAGACGGTAATAAGTACGCATATATGTAAGTTAATATCAGCAGCTTGTAATTCCGTCCAAGGAAGTATTCAAATGCTTATTAAAGTAGCTTATTCAACAGGTCAATTAATAAGCTATTGCGCATGTATACATATGAAAGGTGGTCATAGAAAGAACAGATGTATTCCGAATAACATCCGGTGTTCCGAAAGACTACGGACATCGTCCAATATATGCTGCGTAAACCCTCAGGGGTTTACGCAATAAGAAATATGCATTATACAAGTGAAAATAAATTATAACGCTATATGATGAAGAAAAACTGTTTTTTCAAGGCTCAATCCATCAACACAATTACACTGAGAGGTCTTACATTCTCGAGCTTATATCAAATTGCCAGAAGAACTGAGGGCAGGGGATTCTGTACTATTTACTGTATTTAAACGTATATATATATATATATAAAAGTCTAAATTGAAAACAACGTTCAAACCTATGATTGCGTTGGATAAAAACCGCAATTTTTATACGTGTGCATGCAAAACAAATTTCTTGGTAGAGGGGTCTAAATACAGCACAAACAACATTTTCCAAAAGACCAAAAAAGTGAAAAAGTATATTCTAACAAAACGCATTTGACTAGCAGGTCGAACAACTGATGTTCTTAAACCCTGCTGACTGCCATTGGCGATTGCCAAATAAACGGATCACCAGATGTAACAAAATGGATCTTATAATAATTTATTACCAAATAGAAAACAATAAACTTGCGGAAAAGATGGTATACCGCAAACATGAGGTGCAAAAATTTGTACACCATATCCGGATTTCGACAATTAATGCCTCTTCAGTGATGTTAGGAATCGAAACGGTTTTTGGAAGGCCATATAATTTACCTCAATTTAGGATAGACTCTTGAATTTTGAAAGAATCCAAATAGGATGAACGGATCATATAAACCCGAAGGCAAATATAATACAAGCCCAAACGAAAAAATATAAACAAGTCTAAATTGAAAACAACGTTCAAACCTATGATTGCGTTGGATAAAAACCGCAATTTTTATACGTGTGCATACAAAACAAATTTCTTGGTAGAGGGGTCTAAATACAGCACAAACAACATTTTCCAAAAGACCAAAAAAGTGAAAAAGTATATTTTAACAAAACGCATTTGACTAGCAGGTCGAACAACTGATGTTCTTAAACCCTGCTAACTGCCATTGGCGATTGCCAAATAAACGGATCACCAGATGTAACGAAATGGATCTTATAATAATTTATTACCAAATAGAAAACAATAAACTTGCGGAAAAGATGGTATACCGCAAACTTAGGTGCAAAAATTTGTACACCATATCCGGATTTCGACAATTAATGTCTCTTCAGTGATGTTAGGAATCGAAACGGTTCTTGGAAGGCCATATAATTTACCTCAATTTAGGATAGACTCTTGAATTTTGAAAGAGTCCAAATAGGATGAACGGATCATATAAACCCGAAGGCAAATATAATACAAGCCCAAACGAAAAAATATAAACAAGTCTAAATTGAAAACAACGTTCAAACCTATGATTGCGTTGGATAAAAACCGCAATTTTTATACGTGTGCATGCAAAACAAATTCCTTGGTAGAGGGGTCTAAATACAGAACAAACAACATTTTCCAAAAGACCAAAAAAGTGAAAAAGTATATTTTAACAAAACGCATTTGACTAGCAGGTCGAACAACTGATGTTCTTAAACCCTGCTGACTGCCATTGGCGATTGCCAAATAAACGGACCACCAGATGTAACGAAATGGATCTTATAATAATTTATTACCAAATAGAAGACAATAAACTTGCGGAAAATATGGTATACCGCAAACATGAGGTGCAAAAATTTGTACAACATATCCGGATTTCGACAATTAATGTCTCTTCAGTGATGTTAGGAATCGAAACGGTTTTTGGAAGGCCATATAATTTACCTCAATTTAGGATAGACTCTTGAATTTTGAAAGAGTCCAAATAGGATGAACGGATCATATAAACCCGAAGGCAAATATAATACAAGCCCAAACGAAAAAATATAAACAAGTCTAAATTGAAAACAACGTTCAAACCTATGATCGCGTTGGATAAAAACCGCAATTTTTATACGTGTGCATGCAAAACAAATTTCTTGGTAGAGGGGTCTAAATACAGCACAAACAACATTTTCCAAAAGACCAAAAAAGTGAAAAAGTATATTTTAACAAAACGCATTTGACTAGCAGGTCGAACAACTGATGTTCTTAAACCCTGCTAACTGCCATTGGCGATTGCCAAATAAACGGATCACCAGATGTAACGAAATGGATCTTATAATAATTTATTACCAAATAGAAAACAATAAACTTGCGGAAAAGATGGTATACCGCAAACTTAGGTGCAAAAATTTGTACACCATATCCGGATTTCGACAATTAATGTCTCTTCAGTGATGTTAGGAATCGAAACGGTTCTTGGAAGGCCATATAATTTACCTCAATTTAGGATAGACTCTTGAATTTTGAAAGAGTCCAAATAGGATGAACGGATCATATAAACCCGAAGGCAAATATAATACAAGCCCAAACGAAAAAATATAAACAAGTCTAAATTGAAAACAACGTTCAAACCTATGATTGCGTTGGATAAAAACCGCAATTTTTATACGTGTGCATGCAAAACAAATTCCTTGGTAGAGGGGTCTAAATACAGAACAAACAACATTTTCCAAAAGACCAAAAAAGTGAAAAAGTATATTTTAACAAAACGCATTTGACTAGCAGGTCGAACAACTGATGTTCTTAAACCCTGCTGACTGCCATTGGCGATTGCCAAATAAACGGACCACCAGATGTAACGAAATGGATCTTATAATAATTTATTACCAAATAGAAGACAATAAACTTGCGGAAAATATGGTATACCGCAAACATGAGGTGCAAAAATTTGTACAACATATCCGGATTTCGACAATTAATGTCTCTTCAGTGATGTTAGGAATCGAAACGGTTTTTGGAAGGCCATATAATTTACCTCAATTTAGGATAGACTCTTGAATTTTGAAAGAGTCCAAATAGGATGAACGGATCATATAAACCCGAAGGCAAATATAATACAAGCCCAAACGAAAAAATATAAACAAGTCTAAATTGAAAACAACGTTCAAACCTATGATCGCGTTGGATAAAAACCGCAATTTTTATACGTGTGCATGCAAAACAAATTTCTTGGTAGAGGGGTCTAAATACAGCACAAACAACATTTTCCAAAAGACCAAAAAAGTGAAAAAGTATATTTTAACAAAACGCATTTGACTAACAGGTCGAACAACAAATGTTCTTAAACCCTGCTGACTGCCATTGGCGATTGCCAAATAAACGGATAACCGATGTAATAAATGGATCTTAATTATCAATTAAATACTAAACAGAAAACAATAAACTTGCGGAAAAGATGGTATACCGCAAACAAAAGGTGCAAAGGTTTTTGTAAACCATATCCGGATTTCGACAATTAATGCCTCTTCAGTGATGTTAGGAATCGAAACGGTATTTGGAAAGCTATACAATTTATCTCAATTTAGGATAGATATGTGTGAATTTTAAGTGGGTCTCATTGGGGTCTAAGCGCGACCCGGGATTGCCGATTTTTTGTAAGCGTGACACGTGAAAGTCAAATTATTGTGCCGTGAAAACGGGAAATAAAGTCTAGCGGGACACGGGAAATTACAAAAAAATGAGAATTGCTTACATACATAGTGTAAGCGGGATACGGGAATCTGACAAAACAGTAAGCGCGATCCGGGATCAGAACCCCCCAATGAGACCCCCTTTTAATACTTATATAAATGAATTTGTACTTACATTGGTGGATATTTGTCTCATTTGCAACCATACCACACCTCCTTATTTTCATATCATTATGTACTTTGTCACAAACTTATTGTTTAAAGTTAACATGGCAATAAACATTTGAAATTGAATTTGCTTTACGTATAAACATACTTTATAAAATATTTTTTTCAATTAGACTATATTCAATCAAAAAGTTCTTCAATCATTTAATCCTTTCTATAGTTCCACTAAAAATATATAAACATGTATATAAACATACATATAGGGCATATAGCACGATATATACTTTTACCAATGGCTCCCCATACATCAACATAAGTTAAAAATGGAAGTCGATCCACCGAGTCAGGAAATTGTTTCGCAATCACAACCTTTAGTAGGACAAATACCGAATACGAGTGGAGGATACTCTTACCCAATCTCAGACCTGGAGAGTCTGCTTCGGTTCCTATGTCTAGGAGTCAACGATAGGGTTTACAGGGCAAATACACAACACACAGAATTCTGTCGGGCCAACGTTAAGTTTATTGACAGGTAAAATATTTGTGTATTAGTGACATGTATACATATTATAAGATAAGTTTATATTCTTTTCACGTCAACACATTCTAATGGTAGAGTGTAGAGTGCCTTTGAAACAAGCCTAGGCTACAGTGATATAAAAATATAGCATAAATTAGTCATTTTCAGATTTTCTATTTTTAAAACTTTAAAAGGTATGGAAAGCCCTTTCTAATACATGTAATATGAACGAAGATGTATTTAAGCCTATGCAATAAAAAAAGATAAAAGAATTCAAATAAAGCCAAACCAACATAGTTTAGTTAAAAACTTAAGGCACCGATAATTCATCGTGTGTGTCCGGGGACGGAGAGGCATGGGTCTTTATCTTGGGACAAGCGTTTATTTTCAATATAAACAAGAAGTTACAAATTTGTTTTTTTGAAACGCAATGTTGAAATATTTCTTTCCTAGTTTTCAATGGAAAAAAAACCTGTCACATCTGAAACAGCTGTCTGTAAAACATTTTTATTAAAATCTAGAATCAAACAATTTATCAAAAAAAAAAAACTAAAAAAAAAAAAAACCCACAAATAATGGAGGGTCGGTGACTGCCAATAAAATAAAGATAGGGAATATACGTCAGTGAGTCAGCAGAACACCAAAACAAAAACATAAAGACTTAAAGACACCTCGAGGTCAACATTATATTGTGTAATTTAGCTGAAGAAATGATAGACCTTTAGCTGACCTTTGGACTGTTTTTTTTTTGTGTGGCTCAACAATACACATTAATATTTTTTTTTACTTTTGTTTTTGTAAAAATCTTAAGTCGTCCAAAGTTTAAAATAGTTAGAAATAAATTTAAGAAACATTATGGAGACTATCAAAGAAATGCAATCAATTCCAAATTAACTGAAGGTCAAAAACACAAATATACTTAAAAGACCACTGAGGGGTTTCAGACAAAGGACAGCCATACTGGAATAAATAAATAAAAAGTATAGGTATTAAAGCAACATTTACAAGTTTATAGTAAGAAATAAAGTATAAAATTAAACCCTTACATCGGATCCCTCCGCGGATATCGGATCGGGATACCCGGTGTGATAATGTCTAATGTTGAAAAATATCATCAAAGTAACAGGTAAAAGATCTAGACAGCACTTGGTCATGTTGGTCAGGTGTTCCATTTACAATTGTATACATTACAGTTTAAATCTGAAAGTGACTATGAAATGTCTGGTGTGATCATAAATTAAAAATATATATCTCCCTCGGTATAAGGTGGCTAGGGAATAAAAGTTCATCTCTGGTGGGGGTGAGGGGCGACGGTTTCTTTAAAAATTAATTGTTTGCTTCTAAAATATCTGAAGAAAAATAGTTATATTATCTCCAGAAAGGAAGTCCAAAAAATAGTTCTTTCCATTGAAAATAAGGGGGGAAATAAATACTACGTTGCTTTTCAGATTCTGATACTCCTGTATGGTATATTAAATAGGTTTTGATAAAGTCAACAAAATCGATTGTAGTGAGAAAAAAATCCATGCCCCTTTACAAAAGGTAAAGGATCGGTGGTTAACGATTTAACGATTGACAAAACATTGCAGCAAAAATTGAGTTTCAGATAACATTTAAAAAATAATTGGATATAAATTCAGCTACCAAATAGGAACTGATGATTTTTTTATTATTTTATTTTTGAATTTTTACAGAACTCAAACAGATTTATACTTGTGATAAAATACATGGGGACATATAAATAGTATTAAAAGAGGCCCAAAATGACGGTTTGGATTACAATACAATCCTATGTCATGTTAAGAGATACAAATACAAATGAATAAACAAAGATTCCAGTAGCATGCTAAGTAATTGAAAGATTGCATTCCAATCCGACAGGGTAAGGCTGGATTAGTTTAGCCTCTGCCCGAAAGGAGTCTTATTTTTTCTTACATTTCTTATAGAGACTCAAAAGGATGAAAATAAAATGATAGTTTTCTCATTTTATTATCTCACAGATTCCCTCAGACCAACCAAATTTGGATGAGTCCGGAGAATCTAAGCCTTCCTTTTAATAATTGAGTCACAAAAAAGATTTTCCCCGACTTTAAGGGTTCACAATGGAAAAACTAATATAAAACTAGTTCATCAATAATTTAATTTTGAAATTGCTAACCAGACCAGCTAGTTCAAAGGAAGCCCTCCTTTTTTAACTGTGCCTCCGGAGGTTTTTTCTTTATTTGAAGGGTTCTAGGGGATCAAATTAACCAAACTTTTCCTCCGTGGGTACTCCATATCGTTCAATATACTAAATTGCAGTCCATTGTACACAAGCTTAACTGTTAGGAATACTTTATAATTTGAAATTTATAATCACATTTTGAATTCTTTTTCTTTTTCCTTTTATGTTCATGTCTAGTTTGTAATCATTTGACATGCTTCTTAAAATAGTTGAGATGATCAATATGGTGTTTTGCATAATACTGGACATACCTTTTGACCTTTATCATCATAATTATAGTTGTACTTTCAAAATCTTTGTCTTGATAATCATACGCTATGTAATTTCTCAATGTTACTAGTATCAGCTCAATACTATTAACATCTGCTCTTATAACTTTTCATCGATGGTCTCATGATAGCGTGGTCGCTGCGGGTGCGTGAGGTCAAGGTTCTAAAACCAAAAACTTTAAAATTGTTATTTGCTGCTTCTCCGCTAAGCATGCGACATTAAGGAATAACAGCAAAGACTGGTCGGCTCCGAGTCAGAAAAATGTGTCCGGGTAGGGGGACATGTCTACCTGCGGATTGTTACACGTTAAAAATACGAATGAGCGTGTCGGTTTAGTATAAAGCAAGGTTAATATTCATATCACATGAACATGTTCCTGTCCTGAATGTGCATTTAATTTTCCGCTGGACGTTAAGCAGCCATCCATCATCATCATCAAGACTATTATGGTGTGCTCCATTAAAAGCGACCATGACCTTTATATTTGACCTACTTCTTTTATTTTTATTTTTAAGAGGCATTAAATAACATGTTTGGTAAAATAACCTTTTGTGCCTGAAGTAGTTATTATCTTATCTTCCCTTATCTTAACCTTTGTGAAAATCTTAAATGAACTTAAAAAAAACACTGTAAACTGTTTATTGTTGCAGTTATATACCCTGAAATGCACCATACCTACTATGACTTGTGTATTTTTATACGACCGCAAAAAAATTTTTGTGGTCGTATATTGGTATGACGTTGGCGTCGTCGTCGTCGTCGTCGTCCGAAGACACATTAGTTTTCGTACTCTAACTTTAGTTTAAGTAAAATTGAGAATGGAAATGGGGAATGTGTCAAAGAGACAACAACCCGACCAACTACTTTTTGATAAATATTCCTAAAGTAATGAACTAGAGAAGTTCTCGCTCGGACACACACTCCATAATCTAGTATATTATAAGAGCATGGATCTCAATGAAATTATTATAAGTGAATGGATCTCGATGAAATTTTACCATAAGGTTCAATAACACAAAAGGAAGGTGGGGATTGATTTTGGGGGTTATGGTACCAACAGTTAAGGAATAAAGGGCCAAAAATAAGCATTTTTGTAACTTCCAGACATAACTTGTGTGTAAGTGTATGGATCTCTCTGACATTGTACTACAAGGTTCCATATCACAAAGGGAATGCTGGGATTGATTTTGGGTGTAATTGCCTTCAGATTTTAGGAATTAGGGGCCAAAAAGGGGCCAAAAACAAGCATTTTTCTAGTTTCATGACAATAACTTGTGTGTAAGTGTATGGATCTCTCTGACATTGTATCACAAGGTTCCATATAACAAAGGGAAGGCTGGGATTGATTTTGGGGTAATTGCCTCAAAATTTTAGGAATTAGGGGCCAAAAAGGGGCAAAAAACAAGCATTTTTCTAGCTTCATGACAATAACTTGTGTGTAAGTGTATGGATCTTTATGAAATTGTACTACAAGGTTCCATATCTATCACAAAGGGAAAGCTGGAATTGAGTTTGGGGGGTAATTGCCCAAAAAGTGTAGGAATAAGGGGCCAAAAATAAGCATTTTTCTAGTTTCCAGACAATAACTAGTGTTCAAATGTATGGATCTCTCTTAAATTGTACTGCAAGGTACCATACCACAAAGGGAAGGCTGGGATTGATTTTGGGGGTGATTCCCTCAAAATTTTAGGAATTAGGGGCCATAAAAGGGCAAAAAAACAAGCATTTTTCTAGTTTCAGGACAATAACTTGTGTATAAGTGTATGGATCTTTATGAAATTGTACTGCAATGTTCTATATCACAAAGGGAAAGCTGGGTTTGAGTTTGGGAGTAATTGCCCTAAACGTTTAGGAATTTGGGGCCAAAAAGGGGCAAAAAAACAAGCATTTTTCTAGTTTCCAGACAATAACTTGTGTTCAAGTGTATGGATCTCTCTGAAATTGTACTGCAAGGTATTATACCACAAAGGGAAGGCTGGGATTGAGTTTGGGGGTGATGAATCATAAGGGGGTTCAAAAAATTGGGGGGGGGGGGATTTTTTTTTCTTTAAAATTTTCCATTTTAAATTGGTTATTTATGATTTCTGATTTATATATAAAAGCAAATAATAATGATATGGTTTGAATAGGTAAATTAAAAAACCTATGCTGTGTCAAATATTTAATTACAATCCAAATTCAGTGCTGTATCAAGCTTGAATGTTGTGTCCATACTTGCCCCAACTGTTCAGGGTTCGACCTTCTGCAGTCGTATCAATCTGCGCCCCAGCGGAGCATTTTATTTTAAATTTTGATTTATTTATATGTTTCTGAGTTTTGTGTGGTGTCCATTTCACTGAACTAGTATACAGTATACATTCTTGTTTAGGGACCAGCTAAAGCCCGCCTCCGGGTGCGTGCGGAATTTTTTCGCTGCGTTGAAGACCCATTGGCGGCCTCATGCTGTTTTCTGCTCTTTGGTCGGGTTGTTGTCTGTTTGACACATTCCCCGTTTCCATTCTCAATTCTATGATACTGC